TCTACAACATGTCTGCTGTCTCAAACCTGCCAACCGATTTAACTGTGAGTCCGTTTAATTCCAGTGTAGTATGTTTTTGCAAAAATGTCGATCACCATAAAAATTTTACATGCTGAAGCAGCATGAATGACAAAGGATTCGGCTGAAGTTCGTTGAATGCTATTTTGCACAACTCAGCTCGACTACGTGAGGCAAAGCACTATGCACCCTCAAGTTTTGAATCCTCCTCACCAAGGCAGACGTGTACAGCGCAAGCGATCCAACTGAACGAATTTTTGCAAGATTTGTTGCATGATTCGGTGCCTATCGATGCACGCACCGTCTGATACATTCGCGAACGTCCCGATTTTTGAATTTCCCGGCAAAAACTTCATGTGTGAGGTTTTACTTTCTACTAGGCACCAACGACAATACCTACAATTACACCACCTACATCACGTGTTTGGCGATCCGGGATTAGGCATGTTTAATAGTGCAGCAAGCTGATGCTCTATTCCATTCCAGGTTGCTGAATTGTGCTACTTCTACAGGCTGCATCTGCTCTACTAGACAGATCAGCTAAACTGTTCTTCCTTTCTTGGATAATCCTGGTCTTCTGGGGAACATCTGCCTCTGGAGGGGGGAGAAGCAAAAACTACGTGGTTCAAATCAAGACATCAGTTTGTTCTCGAGAAGCAAAGTGAACAGAATTTCACAGCTTCATGTGACTAACCAAGAGTAGTTTCTTTTGGTGGTTCGTCCCTTCCATGGGTCGACTTTTGGTCGGTCCTCGGGATATAGGAGTATAAAAACTGAATTTTTAGAGGCCGTTAAGTGGTGGCCATTCGTATCTGTTCTCTTTCTCAAAGGGAGATGGTGATTACCAATAGGTAGTTAGTTGAAGAAAATTCGAACCAGGTCTAGAATTCAGTGAGATATACAAGGAGAAATTCATTATCGTTGAAGAATAAGAGCAGAACTCGCTTCCGGTAAACACATAAGTTGATCTTCGTTAAAAGTTGATTGATAGAGTTCTGTCGTGCCATTAAGCCAAGGATAACTGGACCGTAATGAAGTGGTCTCGCTTTTGGAGGTAGGGAGTAAAATATTTTGCTTCCTAATAAGCAAACAAGGATTTAGGTCTATTTATTTTTGCATTCTTGTTAATCACTTGATACATAGCACAATTTTACTTGGTCAGTTTATCTTAGACTAATCGGACTAGGTTAGGTGACCAAACGATCTCTGAGTAGCGTAATATGTGCGCTTTGTATCCGATTCCGCATGGTCAAAATGCATTCACCTTGTCTGCACGAATAGCCTAAATTCGAGTACGTTGTTAAGTTAATCCGTGCTTGTTGTCACGATATTGTGTTCATTTTCACCTGAGGTGGCAATGTGAATGTCCGTATCAGACATGGTAGCTGCTAACTCAAAAATTCCAGATGTACAAACTAGAACTCCGGATGATGGTAGAAATTACTCTGTTGTACCTTCCGGTGTCTGTCCTATCAGAGCTAGTCTGGAGCCATGATAATGCACTTTAGGCATTGTTCCGGGACACGGAAAACCTGGAAATTGAAGTATCCAAATCTTACAGCAGGTCGAGGACCGAACACACAAAACAACACTTGGGAAGGGCGATTACAACAGTTAAAGAGATGATGGTTTCCTATCGTGCGTGTAAAGGTGCCTGTTTTCAGTCAAATGAGCTAACAGGCTCATCTCCAACTGAACAGTTCAGATGCTGCAGCTCATGTGGGAACGTAAAGCTACTGCCTATTAAATAACACCTTCACGGGAAAGCAAACTTATTGAGACACCGCGGTGCTTTTTTAGGAGTGGAGTTGTTTTTAAAGAATGATAAAAATGGGAAATTCTCGACTCGGAGGTGGAGTTTCACTGGTTATGCCGCTCGACAATCCACGGACTATGTCCACCTCAGCAGACAGGGCCTGCATTGGATGTGCATTGTTCCTCCACTACTTGCCTGTAGTTAGTAGGCTGAAGGTTGGCCGAAATATTTTAGTACATCGCAGTCTTATCGAGCTATATCAAACGGCTGTATAAAACGATAGGTGTGATCGAATGACAACGGGTTCATGCGTCAGGTTTGCATAACTCTTCGTCCTGATTAACAAGTATGACCATTAATAATCAGATTATCTTGAATTTTAAGAAAAACAACTTCACTGGCATATGCCTGCATAGGAAAGTAAGTTAGCCGATCAGAGAAATATTGCGCAGTTTGATGACGTGAAGCTTGAGGTTCGCCAACACCAACTTTACTAGAATTCAAGTCGCATTCTCAACTCGTGAGAAGCAGTGTTAATATACATTTGTAAGTCTTACTGGGAGGTCCCCAAGAGAAAAGAAAACCGAGTGTAGGTTAAATGCAGCTATAAGAAGAAGCATTGAAGAAGTTAGGTAATATTTTCCTCCGTGTAGAGGCTGATTCGGAGACGAATGCTACTGTATTCGCTTTGGACCTATACATTCTGATTTTCGGAATTCAGTGAAAAATATAGACGTATGGTTTATGCAAACTCATCTAACTCTTGTACGCGACAGAAAGTCATGAAAATTCAAACCAATCAAGCTCTATGTCACTGCTCACGGAGCTTTCAAGTTGCATGTAAAAGTAGCACATGTAATCTCGTGGAAAGTGTACAAAAGTGGGCGGCGATCACGTCAGCTGGTTCAAGTCATCGCAGATCTGGTTAATTGTTGAGCGTGTGACCGATTCACATGGCAGTGCAGTCTTGTTTCATTGATAGCTGGGCTGGGCTCCTTGGATAATTATATACCTGATGAAGACTTCCACTTTTAACCACTTGTGACATCCTGAAGAAACGTTTGCTCCCATCTGAAAAGGCCACCTAACGAGGTCAACAAAAATGCTTACTTGCCAGAGTGGTATCTCTAGAGAAGACCAACTCTGTTTCAAAGTCATAGGTCACATATTCATAGACCCACATTATTGAAGTCCTTGCGGTGGAACATCAGGTTTCTTGCTCTTAGTTTTGATTTTTCTCCATGCAAATTTAAAGTCCAGATTACTTAGTAATTGGCTGATGTAGTCTGCACTTCCGTGAAGAAACAGACAAAATGAGCGGTCGCCTCCTGAAAATGAATTCTATTGGTTAGCAAGTTTGAGTTGTGCACGCGATGAAAGAAATCAGCTTCACATATTTGAATTCGCACAAAAGCCAGAAGTGGTGTAACTCGGTTCTCGCTGGTGAGCCAAGATATTTGTTAATATCTTGTTTAATATGACTGTGGACTTCACAATTTGCAAACAATAACCTATGGCAGATGTTAGATTGACCATGTTCAGTACAATTCCTGACCCCTGATGACCCTTGGTGACTCTCCGGTTTCTGACGTATACACTGTAGAAAAACCATGCAGAAATATTCAAAATCACCAGCTCCACGCATATAAGAATCAATACACACATAATAAGACTGAGGTTCTGTAGGTTCTGATTCCAAAAGAGTTTAAGTATGATACAAAAGAACAGACTGGTCCCCCAACGAAGGAAGGGCTATAGTAGAGAACAAAGGCCTCAGGTGTGCACACTGATGTCTCCTCGATTGGCTTCGGGACTTTTGCAAGCAGAGTAGACGGATAAGCCATTTGATCAAATACCAGCACATATACGATCGGTTGCGTATTCACTGTTTTTGATAGGATTGCGTCGGCTCAAAGTCAAAACGAAACGGGCAGGTGTTTTCTTAATCTAGTATTAAACGATTTTCTGATTTTACCAGTAGCTTTTTCTGTGCGATCACTTTTTAATTGGTAGACATATTGAGCTTTGGTGTCAGTAGGCTGATCTTAGACGCAGGGTAACTTAGCTTTTGGATTCGGTTGGTCGCTGCTCTGAGGCTATCTATCATCTTTATCATCATTGTGCACGCAGATTTTTCGGCGGGACCACATACCTGGTTAGTTAGAACTTCATTGTAGTCTAACGTATGATGACACGTAACGCGTATGAGCTCTTAGAACATAGTGTGGCATGCTGATTCATCACACTCTGTAGAGGATGTCCTTTTCCCTTCATCGGTGTGGAACTCACAGGTTACATTCACTGACTATAAGCACGCCGGGTTTCTGAATGTGCTCCTTTCAGTGGACCGTGTCTTATGTGTGATGATATCTTGATATATCTGGAGGAGGGCATTGTGTTTTGTTGGAGGGTTACGGTTGAGGCTTCTGTCTGTATATCCACTTCAAAAACCATAACATAATGACCGGGATTACCCACTGCATAATCACAGCGATGAAAAGAACAGGTAACACCAGAGAGCTGAGATTGATCAGCCGGACTGCTGGCATTCAATCCATTGTCTACCAGTTAAAAACATAACTTTGAAGGACAACACCGCTGGCTGTCTTATCATTAGAATAAGTGGTCACATACCTTTTTGCGACCTTTTTCAACGCAGGTCAAAATCCAAATGTTCTCAAGAGTCTAGCTGTTGTATCGTGCGTGGCCGTTTATTGGTTGCGCCTGCACTGGGCCTGCCAGACTACGCGTTCACTTGTTCGTTCCGTACAGTCAATGGCAGTGTTCCGGTCGTGAACACTTTCAGGCCCACTCAGCTGGTCGTATGTTGCTAAGCCTTGTTTGGTGAGCTCCGCCAACGCACCTGCTTTCCGAACGGGTCGTAGCGATGGTGACCTTGGGAATGCGTCACTGTCTGCACATGAGCTTTTTCCATGTCTGGGCGCGTCCTGACACTAGCACTACGGGGCATCGAGTTGATTTGACATCAATTTTTCACTGAAGCACCGACTCAATGGCTAAGGCCTTATTTAAGACTTAAAATGTGGAAGTGATTGGCTACCTAACCAGGCAGCTACAAGCCTGAGTGAATTCATCTACTGCCCTTACAACCCATATTACTATCTGTGTTTTATTCTCACAGTTGATGATATGATTTGGCGCCAATACTAATAGCAATACTATGGGATAGCAAGAGTAACTGTTTTAGGTCACACCAAATTTAATAGTCAGTTTGTCACGTTTCACATACGACGTAAAAAATACTTGTACAGAATTCAAACAGCCAGTGACGAAAACGAGGACGGTAGACAAACAATATCACCACATCCGGTAGTGTTATCCGATGACAAATAATCGTTAGATAAATGCAAGCCAGAGGTTGGAAGGATACTGACGTGTAATCACAGTTGAATGAACGCACCGTGAGGTCAGATCTCACACAGAGCGGACAAGACAACAAGGTTACTGAACCAAGATGTACGATGGTTTGTTTCACACCTGGCGGTGTGCCAGCAGAGGGACGGCGCTTACATGCTGATGATCTGCAGCCCAAAATGCCTGGAAGTTTGTATACGGTTCTCACTCGTAGGTAACGTTATTAGTTTCCTTTGGCCTACTCAAAACTCCGCTTGATTCGACCATTGTTGGCTCGGTCGTGTCATCATTATTGGGAATCAGTCGACCTTTTTCCCCAGAATCCGTAGCGTGTATGCTATGTCTCCATCCGTAGGCGAAGTATATCATCAGACCTGCAACAAAGTGGACAGATAATGGCTATTAGAATCAAACCAACCGTGGGCATGCTTACGAGATACAGTGCAACAAAAGGCTATTACGGGTCATCAGCCAATCCTCAGACAGGCAACGGACCTACAAACCACACTTTCCCAATAATTGGGGTGTTAGAGCAGCGTCGCGCGTACCGCCGACCAACAGTTGCGTTTTTCGCTGATTTCAAAGGGGCAATGGAGTGCATGGACATAGTTGCACATCTACCTTTTCCAGGTCCTGTTAACATTCTTCTAGCCATTTATTTTCCCAACTTCGATTTATGTTTGTGGTCACACCGAGTTACCGAAGCGTCTCCTTAAAACCACCGGAGCTTGCCATAGTTTGCCATTGACATAATCACAGGGAGCATTCTCTAGTGGATCTTGAATCCAGGTATCAAAATAACGTCCAGATGGAGGCTGGTGGCATTGGATCACACAGGCGTCATTGTTAGAACATTTGGCGACTGTGCATCAAACTAATCGTTCGAAACATACGAGGGATCCATTTTATGTTACACTGATACACTCAAGCCTCGTAAACGTATGCAAGCCACTGCAAATTACGGAGACTATGACCTGACTAAAGTTTGAATCAGACGGTTACTTTCTTGCCTGTTTCGACGGGAGGAGAATACCGGTGATTCAGTGAATGATTCTACTGCACTATCAATTATGAGATAAATCGAACATGAATTATGAAAGCTGTGCAAAACTGTCCACGAAATAAAGCCTTTTTTATCACATCCACTTGGCAATAGGTGCCGGAATATGGAACTCAGTCTGACCTTCAAAGAGGGCCATAAGATGTCTTCCACCGATCTATCATGATGTCTCAAATAAACTACGCGGTATGAGTATTTGGGTGTGCCAAATATGTGCCGCTGAGAGGTAGACCAGTTAGCTACACTTGGGGGGAAATCTCTATTGAGGAAATCGACCAAATCTCGATATTCAACTGACGATTTAGTGACATGGGAGTCAGTCAGATAATTTATAACAAAAAAAACAATCATAGATGTTCGCAATTCAAAGTAGTCTCCATCCCGGCTTTAGATATAACTCACTCGCAACGGCGGATAAACATGGGTTGTCATCCGGAACCAAAGAGCCTCTTTTTGACGAAACCTTATTAATTGCAAGCTATACTGCAGTCCTGAAATCAGCCTAACGTTTATTGTATTTACCACTATCTAACCTAGCCACCGGCTACTCCATAGGTCATTCTCAGGTTTCTCCACTATGTAAGAACATAATCTGTGGTGCAATGTTCAACCTTATTTTTGTTATAACAGTGTTGGTGTATTTTTCGGCAGCCATGTCTGTTATGGTAGGATGTAATATGTCAGTCGGCGGAGTGGTCCTCACCCATCATTCCTATAGGCTAATGAGGTGCAAGATGGATGAAACCAGACTGAATCTCACTTTCAGATTGTGAGGATACTGGAGGTGACTGTATTTGACCGCTTTCATACAACTTGTTTACGAACAGAACATTGGATTGATCGGAACTCAGGGAAAGTGTCCATCTGATGCCTCCCTTCTCAAAAATGACGAAGTATTCAGGAAACTCATAGATGGTCTTCTTATTGACGATAAAGGAGGTGAATTAATAATATAACTCAGGGTATGTTAGTAATGGAAACTGAACTGTGCGCACTCCGGCAAAAACAACTACACACCTCCTCGCGGCACTCGAATGAACATTTTAGTTATCTATGAGTACCTGAGCACATTATTCTTTTGAACTCAATTTGTCTATCCATCCTTACATGAGTAGTTTTCACGTGAGAGTGAACAATTCTCATATCTGGGCCTCAGTGCCGCAGTGAAGGACATGCTAACAGATGTATTCGCGAAGTTTGGTTTTAATGCACACATCGAGCGTAGGGGGAAAAACCACTACGGCATGAACTACATACGTTTAGCGTTTTCAAATATCTACATATCTAATGACTGGTCTGGAAGAGGAGTTACTGGCTTATGGTACACTTGATGCTACATGGGTCGTGCAGAGGTAACCAAGGTGGTAAAACTTGGCATGTGAACATCCTAGCTTGTCTGAGCTCAACAAAACTCAGATTCCAGGCCAAGCACGTCAAGTATTCCCTGATTTTCGAAAGAGGTTATCTCTGTTTGACATGTCACGGCCAGAATTACTGGTTTTTTCTTTGGTTGGAAACAACAGTCCACCCACAAATCAAATGCAATTGTTTGCAAGATCGGGACAACGTTGTCCTTATGAGGAAGGAGGTCTGTGTTCTGAAGTAATTTGTCAAGGAGGCGAAGAACGGCTCAAAAGAGGGTGGGATGGTAAATGATAAAGGATAGCAGACTGTTCTGAGTACTTTGTATAAGCCAACATGCTGTCTACTTCAGTCAGTGGTTTCGCAAAATAATGGACGCCGCCCCCACTTCAGGCACTCCAGATTCGTTTTCGGTCGGGAGAGAACCATACCTAAACCTGGTCAAAATAAATCTGAATAACTTTGGAAACCGACGGCCGTGACCTATTACATCAACCCCTACCGCATAAAAAATAGTCAATTTTGATTAAACTGCATTTCATGGTAATATTCGGGGTTTGAAGCTCGAGATAGCTCAGTGGTTAAGGCACCATCTTACGGACCGGTGAGTCCGTGGTTCGAATCCAACCTCAGCATCTCGACTGCTCCTGTCTAGGTAGTAGGTATCTAGTAGGTATCAGCGTGTACTAATCTTGACATATCCTACAGCACTGAAGGAGTGTTGACATTGAAATCGACCATCATCAACATTTGATCATAGCATGGTTCAGCTTCAGCCATTATCTGGGACGGTTTAGCATATTCACTCCGTGATTCCCATTGAATCATATGACGTGGCGGTACACAGTCCAGGGCAGACACCTGGTGAACTCATACGGTCGGTGTTGCATTTTTCTGCTAGATGCATCCCGCAGTCTTGTTGAAAGCACTACTCGAGTATGCTTCTACGAGATACTCACAACGAGCTGACTTTGAACTTCACGTTTGCTTGGTCTTTCCTAATTCAGCCGAAGAGAGTTGAATAGTTTGGATTTTGTGTGATTGCAGTTGATTACTGAAGTATTTTGAAAACAGTGTAATGTCTCGATCAGATGGCTGTATGCTAGAGTCTTAGGTGACATCTATGTGTGCATTCAGGGACTACTGTTGCAAGTCTGTCGTCGACAGTCCGCATCCGAAAGTTTCGGTAAGTTTTGAACAAGAATGCTCAATTTACTTCGACCTTAAACTCAGAAAACCACAGTTATTCACTCCCATCAACTTGCTTTTCACAGGACGGTCACTAAATTAATTAAGACGACGTAAACCAAACAGCAACTTGGAGCAGTTCATTTCAGCCAGACACATCTGGCGTTATCAATCCGACTCTCATCACGAGTTTTGGGGTGACAGCTTTCTCAGTAGGGATGGACCACATCCGAATAACAACAACCCATGTCCTCGAGAACCACGAAGCGTGGAGTTCAAAGGTTTATGATGTGGTATACTTGTTACGTGAATGAGTTTGGTGATGTGCAATGCGGGCAAAACGTGTCGTGCATAACCTCATATTATAACTAGGGACTTTGAAGAAACTGACTCAGTTCTACTCTTAGGGAGGCCTATTCTAGAGATTTTCGGCACCTGCAATCATTCCTATTGGCATCGAACGGTCTTTACACAACTGGGAATGAAACTATTACCACAACAGTAACAGCGCGAACGAGCGAATATCCACCTACGATAGGAGAAATAGGTTAGCGTGGATCGATGCGAAAAACGGCAAACATAACTGACCAATCAGAAGCCAGACGATAAACCGTATCCAAGTCATCGGGGAGAGTTTGACGATGAGGCAGAAGTTGAGGAAAATGCAAAGACACGGAATGAATGGGACGAACGGTACCTGAAAGGAAAAAAATATAATTTTGAATACGCGGGGCAATGTAAACATTTGAATCTGCGGCATTAGCTCATCAAAAGTTAAGCTTACCGTCGATATATATTCCTCCCATCATTTCAACCTAGTCTGAGAAATATGACCATAGGTAAGGAAACGACCCTACCAACTCGTACAAAGAAGCAAGGTCATATTTATACCCTTTGAAACTGTTCAAAAGGTTTATCGTTTGTGAGTAGATGAGAGCTTACTCGTAACTGGTTTCTACGTACCAAAGGGTTGGAAGCTCATTTAATCGTGATGACGGAAGCATCGTTTTGCCACTTTTGAGCGAGAAAGAACGATTTGACTACTAATCGACAAATTATAAACCCTTACATTCTCCTGGGACAACATTCATGCACACAGAAATTTCACCCTTACATTTTCGTGGCGACATTAAGTGTTTGCTGTTGGATGACCTTAACCTCTCTCTACATGAGTGAATCAATATCTAGCCTCACTGCATCATTTAATATGGTACAATATTCCATGGTACCATACAGCATAGTACAATGTGATTTTTAATGTGGCACATTTGGTACAATGTAGTACAGTATAATTATTCCGAAAGGAATGACTCTTCCAGAGCGAAACAGGACGTTTGAGCTCTTTTTCGCCTGGAAGACGGAATAACCGCAAAATTATGCAACGAAGAGCAGGAACTTCCCGATTCCTATGTTTTATTTTCAGAATGGACTGCTGAACAGCGTTTCATGACATGGTTTGAACCAATTGTTTTCAGCCAGGCACGCACGATAACAAATTGTTTTGAAGGCCTAAATCTAGGTAAACTACTGTGGCAGATCGATAGGTGATTGACTGCCAGGAAAATAAACCATCTTCAGCGTATACTGAAGAACTGTTCAGACAAGCACTGACCTTGAAGCTATCGAACGCCTTGTTTTGCTCGTGTAAAAACATGACTCCGACGAAAAATAGAGCACCGACAATGAAAATAATCAGTAGTAGCACCGCCCACCAATGACCTTCCTCGAGAACGCGTGCTCCGGGAAGCACTAAACTGGCGAGAGCAGCAGCACAGATGATGAAGAGAAGGAGTGCAATAATCGGAGCCCGGCCGGGTTGTGAGTCACGCAAAATGGGAAGATGACGAAAGGCGGATTTCAGGCGACCAATAGCATGGGGCCACTCGTTCAGTTGGGCCTCATTCGTTTCATGAATGTCACTGTTTTCAGCTTCCATTATATCAGCCTTCAATAGTAGGAAAGTGGGATAGTGAGTAGACATACGCGTAGTTGCACGGTTAGCTGTAGAAAAGTTTGATTGTACGATAACAAGGCAAATGCAAACACCAGCTGTAATCAATGTTCGGGATCCGCCCACCCGGGAAGCAAAAAGGGTGTTAAGGTCCCATACTACGTACATAGTGAGTGCGTAAAATATTCTATCTCGGGACGAACACTGCAAGAAGGTGATTAGGTGTGCAGAAGTGACGGATAAGTAAAGCCGCCATGAGACTGTACGTCTGTACTCGTTCGGTAAAAAGTTTGTATGCGGAAAAACAGTATTATCAGAGCGCTGCAGTCCATATGGTAAGCAGCTATGCTATCATCGCTTATGTGGGTTGTTGACGTGTTCTAATGTTCCGACTAAGGTGTCTTCTGTTGAGGAAGGATCAACCTCAAGCCCAGCTGTTTTTGTCCATTCTAGGGGAGTTTTACTTTGAACGGATGCTAGAATGTGATAGAATTTTCGGTGTCAATGGTTTTTCAAATAAGAACTCGGTCCAAGTCAAAATCCTGCAGCAGTTGTCCTTGTAAGACAGCCAAGGTTCGTACTGCAAATGCTTTTAAGAATGAAATTGTGAGACAAAATGAAACTTTCACTCGAGAAATACACTCATATGCAAATCACGTTGGTTTTCACGAGAGACTCAACTGAATCTCTCATTTATGACATTCTCCAGCTGAATGTGCTGCACACAGGTCGCCTCATGTTTCAGTTGGCACGATGTTCGAGATATCGCAGTATATTTTCATAAAGGAAACTACTCACTCTTCGACAGCTGTCGTAGAGTTTTCCGCAACCTTGTGAGTAGTTTCCTTTATGAAACTTTCACTCATTTCGTTTCGACAGAACATACCAGTGGTGTGCGAACACAGTAGGACTACTCAGAAGGATGAACCGAAGTTAATATATAGTGTTTTGGACACAGGTTCACACACGCACACACATACACCTCACACCTTGTCGAAATTCTAAATGGTAGGTAGGTATGGTATGATCAGCAACTAACTTCACCCAAACAACTGATTCGTCTAAAATTACGTATTCTGTTTGGCATCTTGAGAAAATGATCCGGGATCTCTCAAGGAGCCTCACTGTTAAACCTAATCGAAGCAGGTGCCAACGAAAGATTCCTAGACGACACCGCAGTTCGAAAACGGTCTTTAAAGTCCTTGAGATCAATGACTCGGATTATGCTGTGTAGCTCTGGAACTATAACTCATGGTGAAAGTAGTCTTTTTATTCCACTGGAATTTGTTTTCATAATGCTTGCTTGATGGTATAACAGTACCAACTAGCAAATCGTCAGGTTCTTGATTGATTGATTGTCCTTCGTTTCCTCAACATATCGACATTGGCCTCTGAATTCCACCAGGGACAACAAATACGATATTTCCTTAGCTTTTGTGAAGTCCCAATGGTGGTCAAAATTTCAAATATCAATCAGTATATCAAAGCGCTATCTATCTTTCGGTCAGGAGAACATTTTTCCCAAGTCTGTGGTCAACTTCAGCGGTGAGTGATGACTGAACATCGTTTTCTCACATTTCCCTCATTTGTCTATCAAAATGGTGCAAACGATGGAGTTAAACGTTATCAGAGTGGATAAGTCATTTCTACAGTTTGTAAACATACGGCAGGAATCTGGCCTCGTCAATCCTACCATATTTCTTATAATGATTCGATATTTTGAGTATCGGTCAAATCGAAGCTTCGCCTTGCACGTTCAGCCGGAGAATGTCAAAAATAAGACATGCATTTGGATCCATTTTGAGTCGCTGTTTCACATCAAGGCGATGAAAAAACTGAGCTATGAGTGCACCAAATTTACAGAAAGGTCTAAGTAAGATAAAACATTTAACCATCACGACTTTCGTAGGGAGGGTGGAACTGCCGGCAAATTTCGGTGAGTACTACCATCCTGTCGTTCGCTCATCTGCTCTTCGTTTCTGTTAGACTGATGTAGGTTTTCTTCAACCAGTAAGCAAACAACTTTGAAGGTAGAAGACGTCCAATCAGGCTACTCGATTGGTTTTTCCATTGCTGATCTGTTGTGGATGGATCGATAACCAAAACGCAGACGTTAGAGAAGGATTCAATAGGTAACTTTGGTCCAATTACTGGACAGAAGTTAGTNGTCAGTGGATCACGCAAACATGACGGGGAAAGAGGGTGTGCAAGGTCACTTCACTCGGTGCCGTTTTTTTAATTGATTGCTTAGAAAAACACTAATTTCAGTATGCTCTTTGGTAGCCTCTTCACAGTGGTATCACGTTTTTTTTACTTTGGGCAAATGTTGATGAAATGTTGAGCGTGCCTCATTTCGTTCCGAGAAATAAATATCCATGACTGACTCTGGTCCAGTATGGTCGGTTTGTCACTGGCTACATACTGAGGCATAAAAGCGTTCACCTTTTCGGTGCCTAACTACCTTACCACCAGAAGGAGGTACAAGGGTTGAGTTACTGCCTGGTTGCCCAAGCCTAGACAGAAGCGGTTGAGTTACCGGGGTTGGGTTTGAACCAGAAACCTCCTGATGAGTAGGTGCGCGTCTTAACAACCGAACTATCCCAGGTTCTGAAGCACAGGTAGGAGGAAACACGCTACCATCAATAGGGCTTTATTTAGCCATCAGTTTACTAATGTCAGGAAACCAGACACACTTTCTTAATCGACTTAATTGACTTAGCTGGTAGACGAGCTCGCGTTTTGCTCTAAGGAAATTGCTAATCTATTGAAAGCACCCCCACCCATTGAAAAATGACTATACTGTCACAGCAACGTCCTTAAAGAGAGGCCTTTGGGAGGGGGCGTGATTTCGAGTGTCTCTTGATTACTGTTGAGTAATGTGGCGAATGGGAGGTTGAGATACCGGGGTTGGGTTTGAACCAGAAACCTCCTGATGAGTAGGTGCGCGTCTTAACAACCGAACTATCCCAGGTTCTGAAGCACAGGTAGGAGGAAACACGCTACCATCAATAGGGCTTTATTTAGCCATCAGTTTACTAATGTCAGGAAACCAGACACACTTTCTTAATAGACTTAATTGACTTAGCTGGAAGACGAGCTCGCGTTTTGATCTAAGGAAATTGCTAATCTATTGAAAGCATCCCCACCCATTGAAAAATGACTATACTGTCACAGCAACGTCCTTAAAGAGAGGCCTTTGGGAGGGGGCGTGATTTCGAGTGTCTCTTGATTACTGTTGAGTAATGTGGCGAATGGGAAAGTGGAGAATTCGGTTCTCCATATCTTCATATGAGATGTGAAAGGCCTGAAAAGCCCATGAGGAATGTAACTTGACCTTATGCTACCCCTCCCTCATTTGCTTACTCCGCCTATGTACTTTTGATCTCCAGTTGTTTTGCTTATCCGTACCTGCCACTTGTCCTGCCGAATAGGCTGTCCCGTCTGTGTGTTGGCATGGCAACGCTGTTTGTTTTATTATTCTTATGGGATCCGTGTGACCGCACGGCCAATGAGGAGCACGTTACTGTCGTCGGAAGGGACCACCGCAACCCACACTAGAGAGCCATAATTCCGGTTGCCGCTGTTTGGTGTGCGAACGTTGATACTGCACACTGCTGGTCGGTGACAGACCTGTGGCCCTGGTGACGCTAGAAACGTGAACAATTGGAGCCTGTTGTACACACTTGCTTATATTCGTGTAAAGAGTACCGGAGAATTTCGAACCCAAATCTTCCTTCCGATATTCGAGATTGCCGAACATACGCGTCACTCAAAGTTCCGTATGGGGAACCTCAACAACCGATGAATGCTCTTCGATAGCCCAGTTCCAGTTTCCCACTTCTTAATGTTCACCAAATAGGCATAGTTCTTGAGTTTTCATCAATCCCGTTCCCTATTTGAACACCAGATTGTGTTACTGTATCTATACATTCGCTTAAAAATTAATTTGCCGTTTAAATTCTGGCCCAATCAACCGTGACACCGACAGCGGTCAACGAGAAACATTGGGCGATGTTTAACACTGATTTCACCTACCTTGTTGCTTGTCTATCCGTCTACCTTAAAACTCGCCCATCCGTGTAACCTAGCCAGATGGCTTAACGAACTTTTGCGTCAAAAGCAAAATTTTGCCCCGAGACAAATCCACCGATTGTCCTCTAAAGGCTTTCGTAAGATCTCCCTGCCCAGACTGCAAACCGACTTTACGGACACATGTCAATCAAAATCGCATTCAAAGGTGACTGAAATTAATCGTTTCCGCCTTTATGAAGCGTTGTCATGCGCCAGTATTGTCCATAAACACCCTAATCGATAGATTGTCTAACGCCAGTGAAGTAAGTGTGTTTTACGATTGTCTGCGTCTGTGAGGCATGGGGATGGAATCCTAATAAAAACGCTCAGCTGTAACACCCTTCTGGCGCCTAGCTGCTATGCTACCCGAAGGAAGCGCGAGGTATGGGATACTGTCAGGTTGCCTAAACCTAGACAAAGGAAGTCGAGAGGCAGAGGCGGATTCGAACCACGGAACTTCCGGTTAGTAAATTCGCGCTCTAACCACTTAAGCCATCCTGATAGATCCGTCTATCAATTGCACTCGGCGCTGCTTTCTTTCTGCATCATCCACTTTAACCGGCATTTTTTGTCCCCCAATTTTTTTTGGACTGGCATCGTGCTTTTTTGACGATTAGTTTTAACTAATTAGTTTGACTAATTAGTTTAACCCGTACTTGTTCGGCCTTTCCTTGCCACACGGTAGCTCCCACACACACGGACTTACAAGTTGCTGAGCTGTTTCTGTTGAGTCTAATAGAGGGACACATTGTGACCGTCGGCATATGAGAACAACCTAGAATTCCCGTCTATCCCACATACAATACATACGGTCAAAGTGAGAGAGTACCAGACTTTGTTTGCACGATTTATTCGCCGAACATTTCACACACACACACACACACCATGAGTGGACTCTCGAAGGAAATCGTTCATGCTGGTCCCTTTAGATGGTTCCTATGCGTAAGACAGTTTCGATGATATACATATATATGTTGGTTGTTCATCTGTTCGCCCAGCTTGGCAACTGGCTTGAAAACGTTTCGTCACCATACGAGGAGACATCATCAGTGATGATGTCTCCTCGTATGGTGACGAAACGTTTGCAAGCCAACTGCAAAGCTCGGCGAACAGATCAAGAGCCAATAAGCTCACCCGAGATACCAATATTTCAGTATATATATATATATATATACATATATACTACACATTTAATCTGATAAAACTGAACCCGAGCTTATATTTGTTCCAAACTAAAAAAGCTTCCCCATACAGACTACAAGTCACACCTGCGGCTTGCAACCTGGAACCTGCCGACGCGATACCACGAAGTCGTTTATGGAGCCAATGACTTACCCCATCTGATTTGTCCAATTCATTCCATCCGGATGAGTAGAGCATCGGCTGGGTGTAGCGCAGGATGCAGACATTTACAGCCACAATCGTGTAAGCAATTAGAGTGCCGATGCTGAGAAAATCAGCCAGGAGGTGTATATCGCATAGGAAAGTAAGAATGGCCGCAAACACTCCAAACAACCATAGGGCCACAATCGGAACCTGGAGATAAAAAGTTGTACATGATGGTTTGGTTCTTCCCGGTCTCAGTGAAAGAGAAAAGGCCTTAAAGTGCTGAATTTATAGACACATATCCACCCAACTCATTCAAAACAAACGCCAATTGCAACATTTCTTCTAACTTTGGACTGTTCTGTACTCGGAGTTCGTGGAATAATCATACTTGATATGTTGCCTGCCCCATGGACATTCGATAGAATTCCCATACTACATGTAGGCTATTTCAACTATTTAATAGCTGGCAACAAAAGTCACACTTTGGTAGCACAAAAAACAAGCGTACAATCATTACCGTACCGGAGGATCAGAATGATGGAATTAACGTATGAACTCTACCACTGCATAAACTAGAACTGCTGTGCACCCAATACACGAAATTCAGGTGCCACGACGAGAAGATTCGTTCGTCTTTTGTAATTGTGCAAGTCATGAATCTCCAATTGTTTGGGCAATTAAGCTTTCATGTCCTCAATAAAAACCACATCTTCCTATGGAGCAGTCGAGAGAACATGATGTTCCACTCATCTAACTCCGTCGTGTGTATAAGATTCCCTCAGCGGCCACATTAATCTTAACTTGTGATATGAAAAAAAAAGAACCGCGACAACAGAATCATGGATTCGCGAAGTTCTGTAATTAGCTTTTTGGTGAGATTAAACTGTCTCCTTCTTTATAAACCAGTTTCACACGTCATCTCTAACGATGGTCAGATAACATGAAATTCACTATTCGTTTATTCAGAAACGGCATGGCATACGTGTTCACGGTGGTTTCAAGGCCACATCTGTTGAAATATTCACTTTCCTGCTCCATTGTGCCTCATGAAATCCAATAACTTACTTTTTTCGATTTTATATTTCCCATTCTGTTGAACTGTTTGTAGATTCTCCTAAACTGCACCGACCCCACCTATCGACCAGTACCATCCAAGAAGTCTTGTGATGGGCATCCTGTGACCGCATTGCTCCTACCGAAAAACGTAACTTCTGTTAACTGTTCCTCCCAACATGCTTATATGTCCTCCTGATTTCAGTTGCTCTTGCACAACTTGTGAGTTGTGCTTTTGCTGCCTGAAGAGCGAAGATGCCAAGTTCGACTTACTAGCAGTATTCTCGCCAATCGGACAAATTGCGCTCAGATGTTAAATTTCGCGGTGGTGATTTTTGAGGACTCTCAGGCCACCCAAATCGTGCATACAATATCATTCAATCAAAACACAACAGCCTTCCTGCTCAACTGACTTGATGTGTACGGCAACAACTGAGACGCTTGTGGTGGAGTTGACTCGGTAACAAGCACTGAATGAATCAGCACTTCCAATTCAGCACCGATCATCGCAGATTTACGCCCAACAGCGAGCTGCGGTACACTTACTACTGCATCTCTGTTCCGATAAAAACATCAGATTTGACTTCACATTATCTATACACGATTACGTAGTGAGTGTTTCCAGCCTCAAAGATGTTCCCTCTTTGGCGAGTTCTCTTCATCTGCTAAGTTCGCGTTAACCAGATATTGGATATCGTGCTACTGTCAGCCAGCGAAATGTGGAACATCAAATAGCGAGTCTTCTAGTGGTACATGTGCCATGTGACAGATAAAACTTGGAGAGACTTTCTATGGTGTTGTGAGTTCTGCACTCTAATTAGTCTAACTTCCATGTTACGTGTACTTGGAGATTCGAATACAAGACTTACCATTTCTCCTTCCATTTCTAATAACTTACATGAAGGGTCTCTTGGCCGCACTGCCTGACTTATTGCGGAATCCACACAAAAGTATCAATGATGTTACAGACACATATCAAGTGTTAATCAGATGGCAAACTATCCGTGAAGTCGGGGTGTGTGAAAGTGACGAAAAACGAGCAACCTTAGTAGTTTAGTCTGTAGAACACCTGTCTTGTTGTGTTTTGGTCCTCAACATCAGTTCGACAAGTATGTTCTGTTATTGACTCTGTTGATGGATTAAGTGATGAAAACAATACTGAAGTCGAAAAACCAAGAGCTCAACCATGGTAGTATCTATGCCTATTTGATAAACTGCCATAAAACGCTATTAGCGCTCCCCTCTATAGCATTCTCTACTTTATAGAGAACAATTCAGGTTGGTCTCATCAATTTAATGTAATAAATCTCATAAGATGGACTATCAAGTGTCCCGTAGCAACAGCTAATGTACATTAATTTCCAAGCCAGTGGTTACTTTATACATTCCACAAGGATGCCAGTAAACACCCTCTACAACTTTTGATTCTCGGGATCGGTCATTTTCATCCAGTCGTGTAAAACATCATTGTAGAAGCGTTTTACTGCAACTACCTTAGAGAAACAAGTTTTGATCGGATTTCCTGAAGGAAGTTTTAACTGATAATTGACTTTTCCGTAGTTCATCTTACCTGCGTAGATGGCATCACATAGCCGATCCACTTTGGCAACAACCCATCGGCAGCCATTGCATAACCGATTCTCGGCATAGCATACATACTTGTGAATAGACTGGCGCTCAGTCCAAGGAGAGATCCTATTCCAGTCACGTAGGTGGCCCACTCCACATTGCGCACGTGAAAAGCAGCAGTGAACGCAGCCTGTCTGTCCACTGTCCACCAGGGAACGAACAACGTCAGGCCTAAACTGGCCAAGAGAAACAGCAGAGTAACTACGGTAACAGAGACTGCTGTGGCGATGGGCATCGACCGCTTTGGATTAAGCGCTTCTTCGCTGCTCACTGTGATCGCATCAAAACCGATGAAGGCGTAGAAGCACGTTCCCGCACCACCGATCATACCACCGAATCCAAATGGAAAGAATCCACCCTGTTTTGCCGGAGCGAACTCAGAACCCACTTGCTGCGGTTTGGCTAACATGATTATCGTAGCCAGAATAATAACGGTCAGGTTCAGCAGCGTTACCACCGTGTTTAGCATGGCCGACAACTTCGGGCCACGACAGAGGATCAGTCCAAGGGCAATAATCAGCAGTGCTCCAAGGAAATCCGGGTATTCGCCCAAGAATTCTGCATTCACTGGGAACCTACAAGACGAAATAGAAAAACTCCAAGTACAATGGTAAGACATTGGTGTTTATGGAAAGGTGTGCTGCGAACCATTCGAACGACTTATTTCCTCGTGTTAAAACTCACCGCTATTAAATGAAACAGTGTCCACTTCATGTAAAGTGATATTACGCATAAATGGAATACAGCGGAGCGGCCGTACACCGCACATACACCAAATAAATACACACATCCAAAGTGCGAGTTTTGGAGCTCACACGATTTCCCATTTTTCTCGTTTTGTAATTTCAAAGAGTTTACAGTTTGGTTTTCATTCTGCCATTTTTTGTGAGTGGATTGTAGATGACATAATCAACTCTACCCACCGATCATCTGAATACATTAAGGGGTTAAATGAAAAATGAACCTCCAAATACATCAGGTTCCAGTTGACAAACCAGAGGTTCCAAAACTGATTTCGAAATGTAGAAAGCTGCTCCATATTCGTCTGGCGTTTACGTCATTCAGTGCCTGCCCTGAATGATCGGGCTCGACATCAGCCTCGGGATGCGCCTGGTTACAAATCTAGGGTAGTTATGTTCATTCTCCACTTGGCCAACACAACTTAGTTATTATGGAGGTCATAACAAGATTATACGGGTGGTGGCATGGCCATTCACAAAAGTGAATACAGACTGAACTGGTTGTTTACAAAACAAGTCATTTGAGGTTTGGACAGCCAAATAAAGTTGTAGTGCGGTGTTTTTCTTGGATTTATCCAATGAACTCCGGATAGCTGAAGGCAAATAACGTTTTACTGTTAGTAGAAGCCAAACAAGACGGGCGTCTGTGGCAACTGATGGTTTATTGGCTCCAATATCTCTTGTAAGGAGGCAACATGATAGAGCTTGTTCAAATAAGAAAGATATCACAGGCAGATCTAACGCTAGGACGACAATACCGCCTTAATCGACCTTAATCGATTTTTTTAAAGTATCTTCAATGCATGAAATCACAGGAAATTTTCTAAACATTCCCTTGGTTTGTTTTATTACTGTTGACAAAATTTCGAAATCCGTGTACTTAGTGTTCAACTTTCACGTGCTTTTGCTAAAAATGAAATCTACTGTGCACATCTATGGTGAAATCTAACCACAGGTCTTTTTGGTGGCACTGTGCCAACCAGTGTCAAACTTTACACAAGGCGCTTTTTTGGCACCGCACGTCGATAGGTCAACCGAGTGACCTACTCTGATCTTCTGTGCACCCATTGTCAAACCAGAATCCAACAAACTGAAACACATTGCAACCAAGTTTCGAGTGTTGCTTTACATTGCTACTTTCTCACACATCTGCGTGAGGGGGCTCATAAGACAGCGGATCTTTAGCTCCATTGTTTGGATGAACCGGTCTGATTTAGATGGCTGCAGGAGTAGTAAATTTACAGTTCACATGATTGTAAGGTGTGCCAGTCGAAACAGCCTCGCATAATAACATCTGTTTTGCGTAAGATGCACTTTCCGATGCCTTGATACTGCAGTGTCGTGCAACTAATCAAAGACAAGCAACGGAGAATACTAGTTTTCCACCGTGCGCTATAAGATCCGGTTTTTAGGACAAAAACACAAGTGTGATGTAGGTCTTCTGAACATGCAATAAGCCGCTAGACTGATGTATCGCTGTCGTGTGCGTTAAAAATGCCTAAATACGTTGTGATAAGGTTTCGAGGTTTGATACTGTCAGGAAGAAATGTGGTGTGGTAATACTGACTCGAACGTGCTCTACCGTTTGATTTATTACTGTAGCAGAGTATAAGGACTCATCTGTGGGCCCTTAAGTTGTCACAAGGGAATTATCATAGGTTTTAGACATCATGACCGATTCAGTACCCCATGAATGAACCGTCATACATCGACAAACAAGTATTACTTCGAAGTAACATACTACTTGTTCCTATCCAGTAGCAAGCACGCACCTATCAGCGCCTTTAAGGTGTGATGTAATCTATTGTTATTGGCGTATTGGACACGCTTCTCTGTCTGATGATCAGTAATGGTACATTTTTTGTGGAAGGGAGTGTTGATTTGCTACGTAATTTGCCAAATTTCAGTACACTGCATTCATGCTGTATAGGTGGCATCAGATAATTTCATATTTAGCACAACTGAACCCACAATAAACTCGCAATCACTAATAACGTGTGCGTTGTTGACAGACCCACACAGACACACATAATGAATTTCCACTAATCCTGTATCAATAAATCGCTCATCCTTTTTAAAAAGACATTAACCCACAACTTGATATGTTTGAATAATTCTACAAAGTTAGTTGCTAGGTACATCACCAACCGTCACGTATCGACAGGTAGGCGCTAGTTCAAATGCTCGTGGCTAGCCGATCCGACCGCACCAGTGAGAAAATCTTTGTTTCATGATATGCATTGCGGTTCAGTACCTGCTTCATATTGGGGTAAGGAGAAAAGGAACTTTCCACCTTTCACATGGAGTTACAAAAAGACTGGGTGCATTGGCATCCTCTGCCCCATTTCAGGATTGGATACGTGGCGCCTACCGATCCTACAAACTTATGGGATCAAAAACACGCTTTACTTTGGTGGACAAATGAAGCTAGAAATAGTGTAGAATAAGATAAAACGATCGTTTTCTGACACGGGTGCATATGAGTGTCTTCGGTACCGTTTGAGCTGTGGTTATTTCATGCGCACAGAGATTGGTAGTCGCAAATCCGTTATCATTATTCGATCACAGATCCTACAGCTCTCGGATGCACCGTATTTAAAATGTTTTTCAGCACATAGTTCGTACACCCATTTTTTCTGATCCTGAATAGCCATAAGCTAGCTCTGAGTCCTTTCCCTATCCACCTTTATTCTGTTCTTCACTATAAGGCTTTCAAGTAAATCATGGTTGTACGGCAGCGAATGAACATGTATGTCATGCTGTCGATGATGATGTTGATGATGAATAGGGACAAAATCAACTTTCACGAACCTAGGTGGCTTCAGGCATCGCGCCATAGAAGAAAACAACTGTTGTTAATGGCTCGAATCCAAGAACACGGAGTACTGAAGGGCACCAAAAAGGATTATTCCGGCTGACAAAACATCACTAAAGAAACTGTCTCTGTTTGCGGCATGGTAGAGCCTGTCCACATGCAACTAACTGCAAGGATTCCAACTGCAATAGGCCTAACAGCCTCGCTTTCACTCGTGTTCCTCCACTGGCGTTTCACTACATCCTGTTTAATTCCCCAAGGTGGATGTCAATACGGACATTGTATTTTCATCTACTTAAAAAACCGGGCCCAGTGCTGTACTGAACGTTAGTTCAGAAATCCTCTGAGTATTAGTTGAATCAGCATAATCTTATCTCGCATCGAGCTGAAACGCGCTGGATAGGAATGCTGTTTGCCCATGTGCAGCGAACATGATATCAACCAATAAACGAGCTCCTCAATGATTTCCATACCATATGCTTTATCGATCTTGTGCTTGCGTATGAAGTCTGATTGATGATCGGCCTATTTTACGGCAATCTGATTTTAACCAATAATGTGGTAGCAGAGAATATTTTAAATTGAAGCGGAGTGAATGAAACGCGTTTCGTTGGGTTTGACCTCATTGTCGCATAGAAATCCAGTGGACGGACGGTGGGAATGTAAACATAGGCGTTTACCGGAATTGGTCTACCAGCAGCTTGTTTGGCTACAACGGTCCCGCGCAAGTGAATCGAATGCACCAACTAAAAATTGAGATGATTTGCCTGGAAGTGAAAAGTCGCTTGGGTCTTCTACCTGAGAAGTCATCAAATGATGAGCCAGCCAACAGCGGGACAGTTGATGTTAACTGTTTGATTGATGGATAGTGGTGATACGGTCTAAGTAGCAGTCTGTGATGGCTTTACAGCCTGGTGTTTAACCAATAACCAAAACGTTGTCGCTTAGTATCCCTCCCCAAGATTCGTGAGATGCGCCCTGCAGATGATCTCCAAAAAGATGAAGCAACTTTATAGTGCATCTCAGCTTTTTGCTGAGAGAAAGCCTCGCTTAAATGATATTTACATATTAGCAACCCAACCTTGTTAGGGCATTCGAAAAACGGGTATATCTTTTCTTAGTTCACAGAGCACCTGAAAACTTGATTGTTGTATGGTCGTTCAGGAATGTATCTAAGGCCAGGACTAGAGGTGAAAGTGTCCCCACTTTAACCACCCGACCAAGGTAGGCTCCACTTGATCAGTTGTCAATTATTACCACGTCCCCTTTGCTATCGAATACAACCTTAAATTCATCGAAGATTCCCAACGATTTTTAAGGAAACAAAAGAATGGCTCGCCAAACGTACTTCAACCATTGGAGGTTACCAAATTTCAAAAGGAGTCGGTAGCGGTTCCAATCGACTGAAGTATTAGGATCGGTTGATTTCACTAATGAGTATAGGAATGCGATATCTTGATCAATCGCCCAAAATGTACGAGGCGGCGTTTGATTTGTGTGTTCGATTGGAAAACGGCATAAATGAGGTGTGTATTCAGATTACAGTTGAATCTTCCATTAATTAGGGAAACGACCCGTAAATGTAATACGCATTCCATTTTATCACAGCTTCCGGTCAGTCCTATCAAATCTCCGTGTGGACCACTATTAACTTGGTTCTTGCTTTCAGGTACCAGTGGATTGATCCATTTTGTTCCTTATGCAGAAAATACACTGCTTCCACTCAAAAACTAAAACACGAAAATAACTATTCTATGGGTTCGTTTTTACTTCACAGACAGGCCCTAGGTCATAGCGCCTTGTGAAACGTTCGACTCTCAGGACCAACCGTTTTCAATCGGACCGGTCAAAACTACCCTAATACTGTCAGTGGGAATTTCCGAAACAGCAGAGAGACTGATAATTATTTATAAAACCTGCAGAATTCACGTGACTGAGGTAGTCAGATTTCCCACTTTTCAATGCTCTTTCTCTATGTAACACTTTCCCTGCAATTGTTGTCCCAGATACTGTGTCAGATGCCAATTGCTGGTTTCTTGTGTACAAAAACCTCCTGTATAATTTAATTAAGATTTGCGGCGGCCCCGATTAGATGGCCCTATTTCTGTTTTGACACAATGATTCCGATCAGGTCACACAAAAACGGACGAAGTATTTGAGTGCGGACTCACTCTTATTGGACCGCATTAGAAATGCCCAGATCTGAACTTTGGTTGCACGATGTAAAGTGAGCATGTTCCCACTACTGCAACAGACCATAACGGACGCAACTGCATCGTTAGGTCTGAACAAAGGGTCTTTCCCCGCTTGAAGGATGGGATCAGTTTAATTGTACACATGCTCCCATATTCGTTTTCCTAAAACATGAAGTATAGAAAACAAACAAGAGTGCTAAGTTTAGTCAGGCGTCCCAGTTGCATATCATGAACTCTTGCGTGGAAGTTGAGACGACCATATAAATTACGTCCAAATTGCGTCCAGATATTAATGATATGAATGTCTCTACTTGTTGCTGGTGTGCTTTCTAAACTCAGTATTTGGTTTCCAGTCGCGAAAGCATCATCCGTGCACCCAGTGGTCAACCAGTTAATAATTCATTTCAGTAGAAAACTGGCAAAAACAATTTGAATATTCATTTTATCTGGAGATATGTAACCCCTGTTTATGCAGAACATTCTCAGACAAACTATTTTTGCGTTTACCCCTGTTTGTAATTATACAGCGAATATACTGATATACATTTCGCTGTGAACTGATATACGAACTGGAACCAGATTGATGCTTTCTAAATCATTGGGAAACTTGACAGAATTTGAAGACGAAGGGATCCATGTTCAACGGGGTTTGGGAAACTGTTCCGCCTTTGAAGCGTGTTTTAGAACCTTCATGAAGAATTACATACCTTCCAATTGTATTCATAGTCCCGTTACTGATGGCATGATGTGTCATTGCATCAAGCGTTCCACTCCAACCACGAGCCACACTGGACACGGACAATACGTATTCAAGGATCATAGACCATCCAACCACAAACGCCAAAAATTCGCCACTGGCAACGTAGGTATACGTATAGGCTGAGCCGGCCTGGATGTTAAGAAAGGAACAAAGCAATCAGGTCGAAGATGCTGAAGATTCAAAAAATAGCTTACCGTGTTAAATGAAATGCCACATTTAATCCATAGAACTAGCCCCGGTTACGCAAGACTCTCGAAAATACTGAATGTTATGCACAAGAGGTCATACGTCACGTGACTGATTGGTGGCCGTAAGGAATCAGTATTCTATCATAGAATGGACCATGGACCTCCGCACAAAATGGGTAGGTCTCGCTGCGTACGAGTGTTTCGTTTAGTCTTTTAAAGAGTATAGATACCAAAAACCTGTTGTATCAAAACAGTTAAGCGACAAACTCAAAACTGCTCAGTTTACTACGAAAGCGCAACATAGGAACGTAGCTGAACATACAATCATTCATTGGGTAACAAATAATTGCTTCTTGTATGGGATACATGCTCAGGTAGTTGAATCGTAATGCAGTTAGCGGAGCTGTTCGACTGGTTAGGGGAGGGGTCCCCTCAATGTAATAAATCCAAACAAACAAACAGAATCAGTGTACCGAGTTAGGTGGTGTTTCAAACATCATTTGCGAATCGAAGATAGTTTTCCACAGTAAAAATCCGCTTTTAGTCTGACCTGCTTGTATAAAACAGAAAAATTAGGCGCCACCACCAAAACTAATTAAATTCCGTCTGGGAACGGCGGAAATAACTTGCACAGGATCACACGTAAGTGGAACTAACCAGAATGCCTGTTGTACTGATGTCCGTTGGATCGTTCACTGAGCTGGACAATTTTGTAGCAGATATCACATGCAAGCTGAAGTGACATTGTCAGTGTGCTACTGACAGAATTGCACACATTACTGTGCTTAGCTAACTGTTGGTAACTAACCCTTTTTAAGTCCACCAATATTTGGGACCCAGAAAGGGGTTTTTGTTGAACAACAGACAAAATGTTCCCAGCAGGGCAAAAGGAAAGTGGAGCTGACTCAAAGAAACTTCTAAGAAGAGAGGAAATAGTCATCTTTGTTAAGTGTTCTGGTGGGGCGACGCACAAATTGAAGCAGCGATGTTCAATTCACCTCCAACAGCTAGAATTTATCTCTCGACGCTATTCTCCCCCCCCACACACACACTCCGGGTGGACAAATTTTCTGTTTTTTTTCCGACATCAAACTTCTCTAGCACTAAAAGTAAAAAATCAGATAGGTGAGTATCAAGCGGTGAGTCTTGATAAAGTTTTCTTCCAGTTTGTTCTCTACGTTGGTGGATGCCGATATCTTTTTTGCTGTGTGCGTCCTTGCTACATTGCATCACGGTTCTCCCAGTGACAAGTGGTTCACAGCATAGGGGTTTATCATTCCCTAATAACACGGCAGTTTTGAAAAAATGCCCAAGGCATTAGACACGTACACATCCACCTTTACCAAGCTTTGATTTCGAACAGTTAAATTCTAAATTCTAAATTCTAAATTCTAAATAGGCGTGAGAAATTTAGTGGAAAAGATCCGCCAGGCTGTTTGGAGGACGGACAGAAACTAAGATGAAACCAAAGCGTACGGGAAATGAAGTAAAAAATAATTATACCAGACCATGTGGCTTATGAGCGAGCCCAGGTGAATTTGCAGATGATTTGAAAGAAGCATACACACATGCACCATATAAGCAAACATGCATACACCAATTTTTCTGACTGGATATCCCGCTGGTAGTCGAGGTTGAATCGATGGGTTCGCACCAGTTTTCTTACACGCAGGGTCGACAGTTGTGTGTTGTACTGGTTAGCCTAGGTTTTCGGTCGATAAAAGCTTCCCACAGAGAATATGAATCAGCGCAGAAAACACTCCTGGGTTTTACACGGAACAAGAGCTGTTGCTAAACGGAAAGCGAAGTTTAACCTGTTGCAGCGTATCATTCACTTGCGGGCGATGCGATTAATTCTGATTGTAACTACAGGTAACCACTATATCTAACCGGTACACAGGACTAGATGCTTAGAAATAATTCAAAAACATAAAATCCAGGATGATTTATGTCATCACTACCTCGTTAAGCATACGAAAGTAAATGGTGTTCAAGTAACCGATAAGCTTTCTGGAATTTTCGGACCTCTTCATATTTGTCGAGCTTAAAATAGGGCAAAGTAAATTTTGAACTGAAACATACAAGTAGCCCGTTGCATCCATCAAGTAACTAAAGATATTTCACCGTATATTTTGTCAGATAAACTCATCGCTGTAAGACCCATTTACGTTGAATTACAGTCATCCACAGAAAATGCTTCCATTTAGCAAATCGAGCTGCGATTTGGTGATAGGGGAGGCACTGAAACTTTATCCATCAGTTTTAAACTTTCTGGAAGACTAACTAGACTGGTCGTTGAGTTGTTCGCTGAGCTCGGCTATTTGATTGTGAACATTTCATCACCAAGTGAGGTGCCGTCATCAGTGCGTTGTTAGGGATCGTGGTGATACTTTACACCGTCTGTGCATCTACGCTACCAGCATTCTCCTCTACAGAAGGCCAACTAGAATGGTTCTGCGCTCACTGAATGTGAGGTCTGTTGTTTTGAGGGTAAACGCGGTCAGTTGACTAGACCCAGAAATCACCTTAGCGGTCGGACGATTTTAGGAAATTATAATTACCGCATGGGAAGTACAGTACTAGATTACGCCAGTGAGTGGAATTCCGTCTTAGGAACAAAATCTATCCCAAAATGAACTGCCAGGTAACTCGATCCGGATCATCTCTCGTGTTTTGTGATCAACAAAGCATATTCTATCTCTGTGGCTTGTTTGTGAGTGTGATTTACTACGTTCACAGTCATCATCAGTGTTGTTCATTGAGCTGGAGGTGTACGTTTTTATTAAACACTGAGTATGCTTCAGGCACGTAGTAGTGCATTTTAACTGAGATTATCGCTTTTTGAGTTTTCGCTGCCATAACTTTATCCTATCGTCACTGACATCCTACTTATTTGATAAATGGCACAATCATTAACCCAACACTACGCTCCCCAATAACGCATTGATGATGTCACCTCGATCGGTGACGAAACGTTCGCAATCAAATTGCCCAGCTCATCGAACAAGCCAACGACCATCTACGCTACCTGAGCTACCGATATTTTCCTCTACAGAAATTTGATAAATGTGTTATATCAACGTCAGTGACATTGAGAACTCTAGGTAAACAATGTTCTTTAATCGATGGGGATGGATTTTTCAAACTGCGCATACCAAGCGTGCGAATAGTGTGTGTGAGGTGCTGCAGTTCCAGGAGTAACTGAGGAGTCTCCGAAAAACCTTGTGTCGATTGGTGCCACAGCGCTGTAGCTGCTTCCATGGTTAAGTCTGTGCATCCTCGATACATGCCGCAAACAGGAAAACCATAGAAAATGAGCAAGCGATAAGATCACACCTGGTACTTTGACGCTGATGTAATTTTCACCAATACGCCCCATTAGTAATGGAACTGCCACCTAGTTCCACCACTGATATTCGCTTCCGTCTCATCTAACTAGGCAAGAAACCAACATTCGGATGGTGGGTTGCTTCCACTGATGTAGCCTAATAGGCCTACTATTTGAAACAACTGCTGATCAATTCAACCTGACTGATGGTGAATAAACAAATCGTTTTGCCCAGATAGTGATTGACGGACGTCATAACCACTCAAGGAGGGTATTGCTCCATTGGAGATGACTAGAAAATACTATCCAAACTAGAATCCACTGTGAAGAACGGTTAGACTCTTATATTTAGCAAAATCACAATGTGTTCAGTAACTCGACTGCCTGGTGGTTTTCCAAAAAGTGAACAATATTTATGTGGGTACATAGTCCTTCTTGATGCTGAAAAGGAGCCACCGAATCCAGGTAAATGCCGATACCCTTGGGCCATAATAGTTTGTAGACTTGTTTGAAAGATTAGGCTCACCTCCAATGAAGTTTGTAGGCTGTACTCGCACCTCCCAAAATAATGGGCATATCGATCCTAATAATTACTGCCGACTTACAAGAAAAAATTAGAGGAATTAAGGAATAATATTTGGCAATCTTATGTAATTTGATTGAAAGTGTGATACCACATCGACCGAGGGTGATATATTTACAGCCAAGGGAATCAAATGAATCAGACAAGCAACAACCACATTTGCTGGACTATCGATAATTTTATTACTTTCGCAAAATTTTTTCTTAGCTTGTTAGCGTGTTTCACCATGAGCAATAACTACAGTGAGCAGTGTGAATTTGTTGTTGACAAATACCACATAATTCAGAACCCTCTCTCTATAAACGCACGCTTTATTAATTTGTGGACTAAAAACGATCGAAAACCCACTTTCTCGCTGGCCGCTTATTATCCAAAACTTGGAAGTGATGCAGACAGCATCTCCAAACATATCAATGCAAAAGTAAAGAAAGTAAGATGTGAGGAAGACCAGGTCAGATTCACTTCACCGGTTCCCATCAAGGCGACTAATTTTGAAGAGCACTGAGGTTTTCACAGTAAGAGTTTCGCCAGCAGTTGATTTTGTTGTCCACATACGACGATGCGATTTCAACAACTCATCCTGAAGTTATGAAACACGGACATTTTCGGCAAAAATAAAACAATAACCGCCGAATGAAAACGTGAGACGATTCTTCAGAAAAATACCTTTGGTATCCTTGATCCAAGTTCAGCATAGCACAGTGCATTGAGAAATGCAGTTATTCCGGCAACCAAGTAGGACAGGAATGTTGATGGGCCAGCCTTGTCCCGGACCACAGTACCAGTTAGCACGTAAATGCCTGCTCCCGCCATGTTCCCTGTAATTGTATGTTGGGGAAATCCTTTTTACACCTACCTATCCCTAGTAGGGTGAGGTCGAAGGCCGTCAGACACCTGTTCAGTGGTGTTTGCATAGCGTCACTGTCCACCCTATGTGACCTTTTCATGGCGTCCCACACCCTCCGACAAGTGGCCTTTGCTGTCTGCAGCATCACGCCACAAGACAAGACAGAACCCGACAACCACCGCTCGCCTCATCAGGACTCCCTCGAAAGCCAGTTATAAAAGGACAAGAAGTGAAGATACTAACGCCTCATTGGTCGACTAAGAATGAGCCTAACTGGCTGGTGGAACGGATTTTCAGTATCGTGACAAAAGTTGGGGTTACATGTAGCTCCGGTATAATCCATCGAAACTTTTGTTATACGAAACCTTTGATGCCAAGTTGTTTTAATCATTTGAAGCACTGTAGACCCGCGACCGGGACTCTTAAATTTTCAAGGTCATTGCGGGTTGCTCTACCCGGACCTTTGCAGGTTTAGGAAGAGTGCCGCAATAATTATTGGATGGTATTAACAATCACGAATACGCACACCATTATCGAAATCATTTTGCTAACTACCAATTTCCGCTTTTTTTCCCAAAGCGGACAAAGCATCATTCGATTCAAGTTTAAACAGCGCTCAGCTGAGTCACCCTGTACTTGACGAGCACACTAGTCCCAGCTTCAGCGACGTCGTTATAGAGCCCATGCGAATTGTCCGCACGTATGTATTTTTGCTTGTCCCGAGAGTGGCGCATTTATGTTGATCCACAGTGGAAGGTCCCGGAGCAATGGGGTTCCCGAGATAATTTGTCCCGCTAATTTTGGTGAACCTGTTTTCGTCAATATCTATTATTTGGTACGTCAGGGTAGTATATTTTGATTGCCTACAGCACTGGCCCAATGGGTTAAAAACTGGGGCGTACCACACGGGAACCGTCGTATATGATCAAGGTATGCCTTATTTTTCATAAGGCATGATTTTTCAGAGTATGGCTATGGCGGCCACCCGTTTCCCTCTAGTGGAATTTTCGAAACGGAACCTAGGGACACTGAGCAGTTCGGAGACGGCGTATCATTCAAGTAAGTGCACAGTCCATTTTATCTCACGTTCACTAATGAATGCGTGAACAGCGTGGGACTTCGTGGCGAATGTATGTCATCATTTTAACTGAAGTGCACTGAGGGTGTTCGATTATGATGCCGCCAATAAGGTCTCGGTCAACAGTCGTAGGTTTATTCCACGTCTATACTGAACCCTTCGTATTCGTAGGGTCCATAAAGTAGTGTCAGTAGCACTAAGCCTTCAAATCCCACGGGCTATAGAATATATTAGGTTGAGTGAAATCAATTGGACTTGATAAGTGACTGCGAAGCGCAGTTCGCTAGATTTTGCTCTTAGCCTTTGCTTAGTGGGGCGGAAACAATTTTCGAATCACGATAAACCTAAATGGAGCTATCATAGAGAGGGGAAGTTCCGGCAGCAGTCTACAGGACAGCGTTGACGTCCTAGCTTTCGGTGATAACCATAAAGACTTGTTTGATTATGATGGTGATGGCAGCGTACGATAGTTATTAGGGTTGTTAGGTTTCCTTACAACCTTTCGAAGTACTCCAGGTATTCCTCCTTAGGTCACGGGATCCAGTCGTGAACGAAGTACTCCACGTGAGATCTGATGTATGCGGAAAATATAGCGTCGAAGGAACTTGAGGTTCGATTGAGGGGTCTCAGATGCCTATTCGCCTCGTTGACGTTGAGCGGAGTTCCACAGTTTCTCTTGAATTATGATCCTCGTGTTATCGGCCCCAGATTGATTGTGTTCCTCGTCATCAGAGACAGCAACATCTGTGTTGACATTGATACTTTTGTGCCGTACAACCATAAGGTTCGTCTAATTATATTTAAAGCCCTAGAGTTAAAAGAATAGGAGTAAGAGTGGGTAAGGGAGGGGACCTAGTGCTGGCGGATGTCAAACATTTTGAGGTGCCTACGCCTCCGAACGCTCAATCAGACAATTTGGGAAGAAACTAACAGCACGAACGCCACTACAACTTCTCCAGCCAAGCACCGGTGGGGTCATGGGAACCCCATCCTGGAAGGCGTACAACACCTAAACTCTTCACGATCTCTTTCATGTCCTTCTTCCAAGTCATACGTTGTCGACCTCTCGGTTTGCGCCACTCTGAATGAGGCACGGAGAACAACACTTGTCTCGGTAGATGGTGTTTGCACATGTGTAGCACATGACCAAGCCATCGTAGTCGGTGATGCTGGATGTTTTCTTGGATTGAAGTACCTGTTGCACAACCAAATACCCGTTTTCCAATCACCTCATTACTAACACGCTGAAACCATCCGACTCCAGCCATGCTTCTGAGTCGTCAGTGGTTGAAAACTTGAAGACGCCTCACGTCATCTGTCCGCAAAGGCCATGATTCACATCCATACAACATATCCCTTACTGTAGCCTGGTACACGGGACCCATAAGATCTGGTGAGATTCTTGCACTGACTTCACCGTAGACATTTCCGTCAGAGCCAATACAGCTACCGAGGTATGTAAAATTTTCCACAATATCCAGTGATTTCTCTTGAATTGTAAGGGATATGTTCGCTCTGAAGCATGACTTTGCACTTTGAAGGTGCAAGGCGCGTGTCAAAAGATGGTACGATGGTGGTCAGTCTGTTCGCTTCGCTTTGGTCTTCAGAGATGAGGACAACGTCATCTGCGTACTCCAAGTTGACAAGGCTCTCACCAGCAACAATTTAAACAATGGAGTTTTGAAGGCCCAGCGTTCGCCTCTTTATTTCATCAATGATGAAGTTAAACAAGAAGGGAAACCACTTTTTGTAGGGAAGCTTTTGTGGAGCTGACCGTACACTCTCACCCGCCCAGAATTCTGGGAATACAAGAGTCGGATTATGTTCACAAACTTCTGGGGCGTGCCCTGTTGAAGAAATGTAGTTAATGGCACTGACCGATCGGCAGAATCCAACGCATCCCTAAAGTCAAGGAACATCAAGATTTTGGGTTGTCCGTACATACACCGTTTCTCGATCTAAACCCGCCACCTTGACGTGGTGGTCGGGCTTGAGTGCTACAATGATTCCGCGGGTTACAGTGGCTGGATCGTCGTTCCACGAGGTGCAGTCATGCCAGAAAGGCCAAAGGGGAGCAGCGAGACCCCGTACTACGAGTGATCGTGCTACGAGGTGGTCTGGGGGTAAATTCGTACTGTCCTTTGAGACAGGAGTGTGAAGGCAGTAAGGTATTTCCCCCAGGCGACCAGCATGTTCATATTTATGGAAGCAGTGATGCTGCCTTCCCCCGAGGAAGAACGGGTTAGAAAAGGTCGGCCCCAAAAACCGCACACTTCGATCACCCAACGGTTGACCGTGACCGTCGGCGTATTATCCGATACGGTCGAAATACTTTTAAAGCCAAAGAGCCCGGTGCTGCTCAAAAGGCACCTGCTGTGTGCAGCCGCATCAGGAGTGAGACAGTGATTCCTTATTCCCTGTGCCCTCGGGTTAGGCCAACCCCCTGCAGCCGAGCAGGTCAGACTATTGAGTCGTCGGCTCCGGGCAGGGTCCCCAAAGAAAACCCTACATTCTCCCACTGCCTTGTGGATCGGACTTTTGAGTCAAAGGCTCAAGGTGGGTGCCTCAACCAAACCCTCTTCCTCGGCCTGGGCAACCGGGAAGTTCTTGTTTGTAGGCACTGAGGAGCATAAGACCCTTCGGTCAGATGACTGACAGTCAAATGGCCCAGCGACGTTTGCTTGTGCAGTGGGAAGAGGTTTGGGAGGGACATCGGTGGACGCTGAACTGCGCGGGCAAACGATACTTCCGTGTTGCTCAGGTTGAGGAAGGGGATTTGGTTGAGGTACCCCACCTTGAGCCTTTGACTCAAAAGTCTGACCCACAAGGCAGTGGGAGGACGTAGGGTTTTGTTCGGGGACCCTGGACCTAGCAACCGCGCAGTTCAGCGTCCACCGATGTCCCTCCCCAATCCCTTCCCATCGCACAAGAAAACATCGCTGAGCCATTTGACTGTCAGTCATCTGACCGAAAGGCCTTAGGCTCCTCGCTGCCTACAAACATCAAACAAAATAACACCTTTCTAAATGCACGAGATCCTTTCTATATAGGGGCTTTTAACGTCCGTACTCTATGTCAAATTGGCAAACAGGCAATGCTTGCTGAAACCTTATACTCCCTTAAAATTGATGTATGCTGTGTCTCCGAAACACACATACGAGACCCGAGCGTGGTTATGCGTCTCAGAACGCCAAGGATGAACTCAGCTCTTTCATATTTTTCCCTCCGTGTGTCCGGTGACTCAGAAGCGATGACTCGTGGAATATATGGCGTGAGAGTTGCACTTAGCCCCAAATCTGAACACGCTTCGCTGGATTGGATCCCAGTGAACAGTCGCCTCTGCGCCGTCCGGTTATTCAGTTCAATCAAGCTCAATGCCTCTCGGCATAAAAAGCGGTGCCTGTTTGTCGTGTCGGCTTATGCCCCAACGGACCGCAGTTCTGATGCGGAGAAGAATACTTTCTATCGAGAGCTGTCCGGGCTCATTCGTCAGGCAAAAAACACCGACGTTGTGATCCTCGCAGGCGATTCGAATGCTCAAGTAGGTCGTCTGAGCTCCTCGGAATCACATTTGGGTGGTCGATTCGGAGTCGATGCTCATCGCACAGACAACGAAGTTCAACTCCTTCAGCTGTGTGCTGATCACGAACTGTTTCTGGCAAGTACGAACTTTCAACATAAACGTTCGCACCGCGTAAACTGGCGGCCGCCAACTACAAATCAACCGTGGACCCAGTTGGACCACGTGGCCATCAGCCACCAGTGGAGAGCCATAATTCAAGACTATCGTTTCTTCTGGGGCACACCAGTTGATTCCGATCACGCCGATCACTCTTGACAGTTCGTTTCCCTTCAGGCCGTCGCAAGTCGGCAAGAAGCATGCCAATACACCAGTTTCGAAGAACTGCCATAGCTCAACAGTATCGATCTGAGCTAGCCCAACAACTCTCCACAGTAAACCAGTACTGTGGTGGCAGTGAGCATGTGGATGAAGCGTAGCAAAATGTGAAAGGAGTCTTGTTAGCGCCTTTCAGTGCTGCCTGCTCGACTTCTGCGATTCGACCGTCACGAAGAGACTGGACCTTACCGTGGTGTGA